TACTAAAAGGTTGGGCCTGTAAGAAGTGATTAGGTTTTAATAAAGGCTCTGGCCTCATAAATGGATTAGTGCCATTATTGAAGAAGTGGCTTAGTTACTGTGTGTGTGTGGGAATCCTGATAAAAGGATAAGTTTGGCCCCATCTTGACTCTCTTTCTTGTGCACTTGCTTCTACCTTTCACCTTCCACCATGGGTTGACCCTTGCCAGATGCTGGCTGGCACCATGCTTTTGGACTTCCCAGCCTCCAGAACTGTAAGCCAAATAAATGTGCTTCTCTTCTTTATAAATTGCCCAATCTGTATTATTCTGTTATAGAAACAAAACAAAACAAAAAAAGGACTAATATGATAGGCTTTTATTAATTAACTTGAAAGTCTTGAAGAAGAGAATTATAGACTCTGTTCCACCAACTATAAACTCAATTCAGGCCATGAGGTTGCTTTAGGGTAATCTCTCAAGCTGCATTTTTCCTTCTGCTTTCACACCACCACAACAAGATTCATCAGCACAGAAGAAGATGTCTGTGACCAAGTGTGTGTGTGGGGGATTTTTCACCAAACAGCAGACCCCGACTGGCTGTCCTCCAATTCAGCTCCCATGCTATCTACCTGGAGATAGTGTCGGATCCCACGAAATGAGGGCTCAGGCCTTAATACTACTGTCCCCTAACCCCCAGACACCAGTTGCAAGTCCAGGCCTCTGGAACTGAAAAGTTTCAAGTTGGAGTTCCCTTGACATCTCCTTGCTTGAGTTCGATTAATTTGCTGAAGTGGCTGACAGAATTCAGGGAAGTGCATTTACTGGTTTATTTTAAAGGATATGGTAAAGGGTACAGATGAAGAGATATGTAGGTGAGGTATGGGGGATGGGGGATGGAGCTTCCATGTCCTCCCTTCATGTACCATGCTTTAGGAACTTCCATGTGTTCAGCTATCTGGAAGAGATCTGAACCCAGTCCTCTTGGGTTTTTATGAAAACTTAATGATACCAGTATTCTTTACCCCAGAGTTTAGGGTGAGATTCTCACTGGGGAGGGTCTTAAGACCCACAGTCAGAAAGGTAGGGGAAGATTAGAGTCCTGCTTTGGGGCAGGTGAAAAGAGGGCAAAAGAAGGTCAGAGAGATTCTGTTCCTGAGGCCTGCTCCTGAGGCCTAAAGCACCCCAGCATTATAACAAAAGACTGAAGCAAGGGTTATGGGAGTCATAAGCCAGGAACCAGGAATAAAAACTATTATCTAACCTTACAGAAAGTCGGAAGGCCTCAACGACAGTGTTTAAAGAAATCCTCATCCCTTGCAGGGATCAGAGATGGTGACAAAAATCAAGCCCAAGATTTAGCTGAAAATATAGCAGAGCTTTCAAAGAGACAGAAAAGGTAGCTTAATATGTTTACTCTTCTGAAGTCAGAGCCCTGACCAGGAAGTGGAACTCAGGCTGGGAATGGAGATAATTGGGTGGATGTGTCAAGAATCTAGAGCAGAAGCTGTTGGCAGAAGCAGTTGCCATTCCTGCTCCAGAGGAGAGTAGTCTCACTTTGCCTGGTAACCATGAAAGACTCCCGAAGGTGGTTGCTTCATAGGGTGGTGTTCACCCTTCTCAGGATTAGCACATACTACACCTCACGACCTCTACACCAATAACTTAAGAGGAGAAATACAGTTCCTTCACCAAGACTAAATATCTTACTTTCCAAACTAATTGCAGGACTCGGCTAATATGAGCCAGCAGGAACCAGGAGAATGCATGTGAACGTTGGAGTACATGGAATGAAATATAATACCAGATAGGGAAGAGTTTATCAGCATGATAGCATGCTTTTATGATTCAGAATTTAACAATCTGCAAAGGACGCTTGGCGTCTGAACTTGTAACCTAAAGGAATAACTCATTGACACTTGGGTACAATAAAGATTTGTTATAAAAGAGGTGGATGTGCCAGAACTACTTTGGCAGAGTATTGAGGAAGGGATCAGAGGACTTGGGAAGGAAATGATCGAGTGGCTTTATTACATGAGAGAACCTATCCCTTGATCAGGTTGCCCAAGAAGGCCCGCAAGACACTCCATTAATTACAATAAGGAATTCACTAGTAAGTGCATAGGGCACTTGGTGTTTCTGAGCCTTGATGACCATCTGCTGTAGGCTAGGATTGATGATAGGAGACACTGCTAGAGTGCTGGCTTTCTTAAAAGCAATACTATTTCAGAATAGGAGAGTGCGTGGGGGGACAAGATGGATAGGGTCAGAGTTGCAGCCATAGTGCCATGGTTGAAAACCTATGGTGATGGCTAATTGTCCATGGTGTTCCTTTCAAAAACCATGAAGGTTCTGAGATGTTACCCTACAAGTAAGCTAACAGGTTAGTCTGCCATGGTGTCATAAATGTTGACAATGACAAAGGAGACTCTTGAGTCAGAGACAAAGGATGGTTTATTAGTTACAGTCATAGAGTAGTCAGAGTATGAGCATTTGCATTGGTTCCCAGAATCCCAAATCCTACAGGATGACATGTTGAGGGCCAGTTGATACCCAAACATGTCAAAAGTTATGAGCGTAGAAAACTCCAAGCTGCAAGCAAACCCTTCCAACTTCTGCCCTAGAAGGAGACATTCTTATTAAACAACAATGTCCCCTCCTCTGGAAGGAAATATTGTCTTTATTTTCCAAGACTGATGGCTCTACATTCTTGATAGAATGGGGACAAAATCTCAGTGCCTCTGTTTATAGGATATGAAGAAACTTGAGACATCAATGTAGAATCGTGCCCTGAAGTATTCACCCCTTGTTTCTATTCTATCTTCAGTTGGAGCAAATTTTCCCACGAGTATGCCACTCCATCAACCAATCTGAATAATCTGATGAACAGATGCTGGGACTAAGTCTCTTTAATTTGTCTCATACAGTATTCAATTAAGGCTACCATCAACAGGACTCCAAGTGACAGGAGTCGTGCAATATTGACTTCAAATCCACTTCCCTCTGTGCCCAGGTTCCTGGACTAAACCATCTGAACAAATGCCACCAACTGTCAGAATCTACCTTCAAAAGCCAAGTATCTTTTTTTCAGGGTTCTGCGTTGACCTTCCACTTGGCTGAAGGCATTAATTTAATTTAGCAGGGTGTATTAGTGATTGTACAGAAGACTCTGACCTGGTCTGTAAGGAGAAAGTCTATCATCTATAACAGCCCTGGCCAGTGAGTTGAGACTGACCTGAATGCCTTTGAAGACCAACGTGGTGTCCTTGATGACATCATTTAAAGTAAGGGGTAAATCTTGAACCATGTTTTCTAACTGGATGGCTCCCAATGTAGGGAAAACTGACAGAAATGAGTGCATAAGTAAAGACTCACCCTCTGGGAAGCCTCTTCAGGTAACCAAGGATAGTCTAGTTTTGAAAGGAAATCCCCTCAGTGGCCTGAGAGTCACCTGATCTGCTGGCAGCGCTTGTTTAAATACTAGTAGGTCTTGTATAACCACTTTTTTTTTTTTTTGAGTTAGAGTCTCACTCTGTCACCCAGGCCGGAGTGCCCTGGCACACACATGGCCACCCCAGCATCGACCTGCTAGGCTCTGGTGATCCTTCTGCCTCAGCCTTCCAAGTAGCTGGAACCACAGGTGTGCGTTACCAGACCTGGCTAATTTTTTGATTTATTGTAGAGACGAAGTCTCACCAAGTTGTCCAGGCTGGTCTCAAACCCCTGAACTCAGACAATCTTCTTGTCTCGGCCTCCCAAAGTGCTGGGATTTCTCCTCTTTTTCTAAACAAACGATATTTTCTAACCTAAAAAAAAATGTGTTTGTGTCTGTGTGTGTGTGTGTGTGTGGGGTCTCAAGCACTAAGTTTGTGGCAATCTGTTCCACAGCAATAGGTAATGAATACATCAACAAACAATATATATTTTTGTAGTGAAAGCTCTGGACATCAGAAGGTAGAGGCACTCACAATAAATTCTGACCCCTACACAGGTGGCTTACGGCAGATGAATTTATGCACCCATGATGGAATACTGCAAACCTGTGCTTGGAGACATTTGTGGCATGCTGGGATAGGCTCTGGGTCATAATATCTGATTGTAAGGATTAACTAGGACAATGCAGGCAAAAGCTGTTTAACACAGGGCCTGGCACCTTCCCTGGTGCGCCCAGTGAGTGTGGCTCTTGCCATCTTCAAAGTTCAGTGAGGTCAAGTGTCTGTCAATATCCACACATTATAGTGGCTATGGATTTGCAGTTCCCTTCTCTTCCTTCCCTCCCCAACCCACTAATCAACTAACCAGTTAACACTTCAATCCTTTTCCCCCAGAATTAAAACATTATTTGGTGCGGTCCTTTCTCAATTCTCACAGAACAAAACATTTCTCATTTTCCTACAACGACCACCACTCAGCAGCAACAACAATTTAAAAAAAAAAGTCTGGCAAAGCACTCTCATACTCGCCTCTGGGTTTCTCTACAGAGATAACTACATTTCTGGTTTGTAAAGACTTCAACGAAGGGTTCATTAAGGTTTTTCCCCCCAACGAAAGAATACCGTCCCCGAGGAGCAGCCTCTGGAGCCCTATTACTTGCTCCCTGGAGAAAGTGGGAGAGTGAAGCCCCAAGGCGTGGCCTGAACGCCCTCTGGGGTGTGGGTACCCGCTCGGAAACGCAGGGGGCTTAGGCGAGCGCCGGGAGCGCCTTAATTTCAGCCCCGAATGGGTAGGAATCATCCAGTTTAAAATAACCAGCCCTAGCTGCCTACGAGGATGGGCATAACAGGGTCCAGGGCGAGGGTATGATGCGTGTGTTGAGGGGCCCCCCCCCAGCCCCCCCACAA